CTCCAATGCCTAAAGGGGTGGCACGCCAGTGCCTAAAGGGGGCTCCTAGGCGGCCCATATATGATGCTTAGTCGCCAGCGGTGTTGGATGGGCGCTTGGGTCACACATAAGTGCCTATAAAAGGTGGCGCCTTGGTGCCACTCTATGTGAACTAGATTTGGACTTCGTTGTACTTGTGTTTGAAGCAACTTCTTTCTATTTTGCTCTAATATTTGGCTAATGCATCTTTAAACTCTCATAAGTATCTCTATCATGCCATTGCACAAAAAGTATCTGAAAAGTATAAATAGGAACAAATAATAGAGAAAAATGCAAGAAAATTTAGATAGATTATCACATATTTTCTACATATCTAATTCTCCCAAATTTACATATTATTTGCGCTCAAGTAATTTCAATATCTAAGATTAGAATATTTCAAAGTGCGGCGATGGCTAGTGATTAAATATTCACTGTTTCCTAATAATATGGTAGACATATAATAGTCAAACTAGACTTGCTTTTTCTCTAAATTGAACGCTCATAGTACCCCTAATATCCTGATATGACAAATGGTAATCCTATATATATATATAATCATCCTAAATTACTTATGTGAAGCTTGACTAAGTAATATTAATATTCAATCATAAAATTCAATTATTTATCCAATTAAGCTATTTGAATCCCATTTTTGCTTAAATTTCTCTTTGAATACAAAAAATTTGCTTTAGTTAGAAAAGTTATCATCTGTTGACTTCTAGAAGAGAATTTGACATTAATTTTTAATCTGAGCTTCACCTCAAGCTTATCCATAAATGTTCTTGAAATTTTTCTCTTAGTATTATGAACATTTTCTACAATTTTTCTACTTTTTCGTTCTTTTCCTTTTCTTTTTGATTTCCCTTTTTCTCTTTTTTTTTTGTTGGTGTTGTGGATTACTATATCTAGTTAAGCTCTTTTAATGATTTTGAATCCCAACCCTCTTCTCAAGTTAAAATTTCAATACTTGTTTAACTTAACTAAAAAGTTTGTAGTTCAGGAGATGGTAATTAAGATTCAAATCATTTAAATTAAATAGTGATTAAATTTTCTATTATTTAAATATCAATTATATATATAAATGTTTGACCGATACGAGGACTTTTATATTAGTTATCTATATAATAATTTCTAAACACTTAGTTGAATATTATATATATATATATATATATATATATATATATATATAATATTCAACTAAGTGTTTAGAAATTATTATATAGATAACTAATATAAAAGTCCTCGTATCGGTCAAACATTTTTAGTGGATTATTCATGGCTTTTTATTTATAATAACCTCAAATCAATCAAATATCATTTGTGGATTATTCATACAAATGACCTCAAATTGATTGAACATCGTTGGTGGAGTATTCATGCCTTGTATTTATAAATGATCTCAGATTTGTCAAACATCCTTAATAGATTATTAATGACTTCTTAGATATAAATGACCTCAAATCAACCAAACATCATTGATAGATTTCATTCGATTTTGTCTACATGTATTCAAAATCCGAAATCCTCAACTCATTTGTCAACACTAATTAAATAATATTCCACTATGAGGTTACGCAGCAACATACAAAATGAAATAATATTAATTCTAACCACTTAAAGATATACAACATTAGAAAGTACAAAAGGATTTTTTAAAGAAAAATTTATTACTTACGACACTTGCCCGGATTCCTCTTCAGCTTGCTATGACCTACTAAGTATCACAATGTGAGAATCTCTTGTATGAATGGAGTGGTATGCACAAAGATTCTTCTTTCACATATTTGATGGGTTAATATATAACTCAAACTAAAGTTTTTCAATACTTTGAAATCTAAGGACCCTCAATACGTCTTATTCTGCAACATGAAGAGCAAAAGTTAGCTTCTTCTGCTCTGCAATTTTTTCACAAAGAAGAATTGGCTGACCCAATTTTTTGGAGCATCAATGACAACTCAAGTCTCCTCAAATTATAATTTTTTGGAATCTTTGAAATTATATTTTCGGAGGACACTAGCAATATCACTCGAAAATAAATGACAACTGATGTGTCATCAACTTTTTTTATCATCTAGCACAAATCTCAATGCATTTTTGAGCAATAATTATCCAAATTCAAATTTAAGATCATCTGAGTCTCAATTTGTAAATTTATAATCAAGTTTACTGTCTCGACAAGATGAACCTAATGATGACAAAATTAGTTCAATTTGGGTCCAATCAAACCAAGATCAAGTCATTAAAACACATTTGGATGTTTTAAATCATAAAGTGAATGGGCAAATGAAATCTAAGTTTACATATTTATAGTCAAATTGAGCGCCTCAACAAGCCTAATATCACTCAATTCTAAGGTTATTAAGGCGCTCACATCGTTAAAAAAAACCCATATGATCAAGGGGATTAATATCAGTTGTTCGATCAAGTGGTCGGTGAAGTTATTCTTCAAAAAAATAAAATGGCTCTCCAAAGGCTATAAATAAACCCTCTCTTCACTTAAAGGGGGGAGGGGAAGAAGATAAATTCTAGACCCCATTATGTACTGAAAACCCAGTAATAACTTTTGGTCTTCGTAGTCGCCGACCATCTTCAACCACAGTCTCTCGGTCCTGTAGACCACTGCCAAATGTCACTGCCTGTCACTCCTGGCCTATGACTACCAGAGAACCTTGCGTGCAATTATTGTATCAAATACGACTATAATGTATTGAGGACTCGACGATAACTTCTGACCTCCGTAACCATCGACCACCAACAACTACCGTTGGTCGTTGCCACTTGCTGTCATTGATCACCTAGCATCTACAACCACTGCTATGATTGTCAAAACTAGAAAACGGCGGTTGTTCCTTATATATATATATATA